CAGTCAGAATAGCAAAATTTAACAGAACCGCAAGAAACAAATGGTGGCGAGGTTGTGGAGTAACTGGAACCCTTATTCACTTTTGGTGGGAGTGTAAAATGGTGCAACCCCTGTGGAAAGCGGTATGGCGCTGTCTCAAAAAGTTGGAAATAGAGATATCATTTGACCCAGCAATTCCACTACTGGGAATATACCCCGAAGAGACCATAACTGACATCCAAGCAGATATATGCACATCCATGTATATTGCAGCTGTGTTCACAATAGCAAGGAGTTGGAAACAACCTAAGTGCCCATCAACAAATGAATGGCTAGAGAAGCTGTGCTATATTCACACATTGGAATACTATGCTGCATTAAAAAACAAGGAACTCATGCAATATTATTCAAAATGGTTGACTCTGGAGAACATTATGCTGAGTGAAATATCCCGGTCACAAAAGCATCTGCTCTTGACCATGCAGGCCAATTCACAAATAATCTTTAGCCTATCCCTGTGTATTTGTGTAGAGTCAGAGGTGTGGATTCCAAACTGACGCATAACAGACCCTCCGGTTGGCTTTCAGAGATTGAAATCCACAAGGGAGGAGATGAGTCATCTTTCTCCTGAGAATCAAGTGCTGGATTGTGAACATCTGCCTTGGTGTCAGCATCGTAACTCCCTTACAACACTACAGAGTTCCCTAAGTTTTATGCTGCTGTCGTTAGGTGCTGTCGAGTCAAGCACGACTCATAGTAACCCTATGAACCAAAGATCCAAACTCTGTTCTATCCTGCATCCTCCTCACCTTTACACAAGAGCCCATTGTAGCAGTCACTGTACAATCCACCTGATTGAGGGTCTTCCTCTCCTTTGCCTACCCTCCACCCTTCCCAGCATCATATCCTTCTCCAAGGAATACCCTCTCCTAGCAACATGCACAAAGGATGTGAATCATTCTTGCCTTCAAAGAACACTGTGGCTGCACCCTAAAACACAGCTGTTTCTTTTCCTGGCTGTCCATTTAGTGCTCAGTGCTCTTCTAGTCACATGATAAACAATACAGTATATTATCGTATACCATATGGAACTGACCCATAGCTGACCCTCCAGCAGGTTCTCAGAATCCGTTGACTGCATGGAAGGATAGTGTCCGTCCCTCTCCTGCAGAGCAGCTGGTGGCCTCGAACAACATTCCTTCAGGTTTGCAACACAGCTTCTTACCTCTAGGCCATCAGAACGCCTGCCCTTGTTATACACTATCGTAACCCTAGATATCTGCACTTAGTCTATATGTATAAAACTCAGATCCTGTGTAAACGTACAACATTGTCTTTAGGGTGATTTGACTATCTTCTACCACGTCGACTAAAATGCATGCCTGATAAGCCATGCATTTTTCTACTTCTTGGAGGAACAACTGAGTAGGAAGGACTGAACTTTTTCCTTAAAGAAAGGAATTTGTGTTTCCATATGCTGTTGTCAATGTGGACGAATGAAACACAGTGACATCGACAGTGACGGGGAGAAGGGAGTGAAGGCCGGGGGCAAACATCTCGAACACTGCAGCCCCAGACTTAGGGTCTCTCCTGCCTTTATTGAAAATTCCCAGGAGATGCATCACAGGGAAAAGTCTTTACTAATTGGCTATGATTTTCTCTGCTGACATCCTTATGCTTATCTCAGGAATGATGGGTTTACAAACACAAACTGAGAGTAGCATGGGAATATACCCTGAAGAGACCATAGCTGACATCCAAGCAGATATATGCACACCCATGTTTATTGCAGCTTTGTTCACAATAGCAAGGAGTTGGAAACAACCTAAGTGCCCATCAACAAACGAATGGCTAGAGAAGCTGTGGTATATTCGCACAATGGAATACTATGCTGCATTAAAAAACAAGGAACCCATGCAATATTATTCAAAATGGTTGACTCTGGAGAACATTATGCTGAGTGAAATATCCCAGTCACAAAAGGACAAATATTACATGATGCCACTGTTGTAGAATGGGACTGTCCTTGGGGTTGGGGAGAGACTGAGTAAGATGGGTTCAATAATGTATACTGCACTGAAACAGAGGAGGGAGAGAACCATTTAAAAGAGAGATATAACTGGGTATTTCTGTCATCACAGGAGACTAGAGCGAGGGCTACATGGTGGAGGGGACCTGGGGGAGGGTTTGTAAAACAATGAAAGAATCTTTTCTTTTACTTTTCCATAATTTTTGGACTCATGTAGTTATAACTTGTTAGTCAAATTTGTGTCTTCTAGGTTGCAACACCCCCATGATACATCTTGAAGGATATGTACATGTACAGCCAAGCACAATCAATAAGAGTGCATCTGAATTCCAAAATCAATCTCCATAATAGTCTATGTGTTTCCTACTGCCAAAGGGGCCCTTTAGAGTAGTGAGAGAAGATCTTCACCCTGAAACCCACAGCATCCCTTTTCAGCAGGAAGTAGCTAAGAGAGTACGCCGTGCCCTTTTCCTTATGACTCAGGGTGAAGTCTCTCTCAGGGAGGAGTGATAGGGAATGGCAAAGGATACACTGACAAAGAAGATTAATCAGAACTGGCTTTGACAAGCACTGTGGCATTTGGACAAGAACAAACTGGGAGGAGGGTAGAGAGAATAGTGCAACAATGAATGAGTGGAAGCCCAAAATCTCTGTAAATGTTTATGAAAATTAATAAAATATAATTAATTATAGAGAAAAAAAAAACTGAGAGTAGCAGAGGTGCCACAAGGTCTGCTCCAAGTGCCTGTCTCCTATGATCCGTCTCAGGAGAAATACCACCTAATTCTTTGTGATCTGTGACAAGAGGAATTCCAGCTTGAATCTGTGCCTCCTTCAGTTCCTGTTTAAGCGTTTTGTTTAACATTTGCCTTCCCACAATATGCTTCTGTGGACCCAGCGTACTCTCATATGTATAAGGGACAGAAGAAAATATTTCCGTTCCATAGTGGTTCCACGATGGTTGGATATCACTCTGCTTTCAGTCTGTCCTTTATATTTTCTTCATTGTTATTAAAGATCTTTTCAAAAGAAGTTGAAATTGACTATTCCCAACAGGCTTATCTTCCAAATTAAACAATTCTCTATTTTGTGTTGTTTTTTCCCCGGGATACAGAATATGTGTACAAAGACTCACAATGAAACGATCGACAGGTTCATTGATTATATAGTAAATCTCTAAGTTCAAGCCAGGATTTCCTCCATAAAGAAATGAAAGTCATAAGATCCAGCACAAGACTGATATCTGATGCCCTCAGTAGATCTTGGAAGAAAATAATCTTGTGTCTGTATTGATTTCTTAGTTTTCTACGTATGTGAGGCTCCTTTTTCGTTCTTGCCCACATTGTGAGACAGGGTACCAATCTGATCCAGAATACGCTGTGTGTTTCAGGCACCATTGCTGCTTGATGATGTGGTCATCTTCTTCAGCCCGGAAGAGTGGGCCTTATTGAGTGTTGCTCAGAAGAAAGTCTACAGGGACGTGATGATGGAAATCTTGGAAAACCTGGACTTCACAGGTAAAATTAAGATTTGATATGCTTGCAGATCCTTGGAATGCAAAGACAATGAATTCATGCACATGACTTTTGAACTTTGGCAGAAGAATTGAAATACAGGGCTCAGTGACGCAGGCATGGCCACCTGGCTTTTAGCGCTCAGGAAAATGACTTTTTCGTGGATGTCTTTGTATCTGAGAGCACCTTTCCTCTTCTGTGTTTCAGTAAATTTAGATCTGTCAGTATCCTAAGTGTACACTCTTAACTTTTATGGGTCAGAATTTAAGGCCTATTCTTTATGGCCGTGGGGTCTAACACTCATCTATTGCTCCTTTGTTGTTCTTATTTTGTTGCAGTTGTTGTTTTGGTGTTCTTTCGAATTGGATCTGACTGGCACAGGAAGAGACTGCCCCTCCTTCTCCAGCAAAGCAACTGATGGATTCAAACCACATGCCTTTGGGTTTGCAACTTCTAGCCGCTGTTCCACCTGAGTTCTCGAGGGCTCCTGTGTTGAGAAGTTCTATGAAATAGTTTATATGCAATGGAACTTTTGCATGTTGAGAAATAGGCATTTTCAGGAACCAGTTAAAATATCTTTGTTGCTGGATGTGACAGCTTAACAGATCACCGGACACTCTTTTCTGCATCAGCAGGCCAGTCCTGGAGCCATCTTTCTATTTTTCCTGTGATGTGTGTCTTGTGTCATGTTATGTGAATCCTCTGTGATATAGTGTGTGTTCTGTGCATTGTCATGTGTGTACTGTTCTGTGTGATGTTGTGTGTGCTGTGTGAGTCATCTCTGTAATTATCCACCCAGAGGAATTTCATTTATATCATCATGTCTTTGATTTGTTTCAAAAGGGATTCGTAGTGAACAGTTTGCCATCCAGTGTCAAAGTGCTGAAACTCAAAAAGGTGCCCACGTGACTGTTGGTTCAGATCAGCCAAATGTCTGTTACTTTCTTTTCTTTCTGTGTTGTCAAACTTATTTTTGTTATATAACAGGCCTTGAACACATGAATTATGGAGAAACATTGTTCCCTGAATGTACTCACTTGACATTCTCTGAGATTACCCACCTTTGGTCTTCCGTGTTATGGAAAATGGTAAAACTGTGTGGCAAAGAAAATCTACATAAACTCAAAGAACTATTGGAGGTGGGTATCAGGAAAATGAAAAAAAAAAAACAAACCAACAAATACCAAAACACAAAAAATTACTCAGGAGAAACATTGTGACTTTGGAAACTGTAATTAGATTTGTAAGTGCAGTTCTAGGAATTATATTTTTGCTAAATGAAGTCATGTGAACCGTTAAGAAGGTAAACTCACACATCTTCATTGGGATTTATTGTGGGCCTACAGAAACACGCTCACTTACAGCTTGTCTGATATTTATTTTTCGTAGAAGTCTAACAGTACAGGAGGTGCGTGAAGGGATTGAAGACACTCACCCTGGGAACATGCACATCAGATTTCCAAGTTATTCCGACAACCATGTCGACGTAAACCTGTTGAGAAGTGACCTTGGTGACACCGGCCATGAATGTAAGAAATGTGGGAAAGATTTCTGTACCTTTTCTTGATTTTGGATCCATGTGGTAGATGAACATGAACCTACAGAATGTGCTGAGACCTGTGGGAATCCTTTCCCTTTAGTTTCCAAAGAAGAGTTTAATTTTCTAGAAAAGCTTTATGAGTGTATTGATAATGGGAAACCCTTTTCTTCTTCTGCCCCCCTTACTGGTACTTCAGACAGCACAGTAAAGAGAAACATTGACAGTGTAGAGAAGTCTCATAATTGTAAGGTATGTGGAAAATCTTTGCGTTCTTTGTTATGCCTAAGGAGACATGTGAGAACACAGACAGATGGGAAGCCATATGAATGTCACGAGTGTGGGGAAAACTTTCGTAGGCTTGCTCTTTTAACTCTCCATGCCAAAATTCACTCAGCAGAGAGACCTTTTCAATGTATGGAAGGTGAGAAGACCTTTTCATGGTGGGATCACCTCGTTAAACAAAGAGGAATTCACACAAGACAATGTGAATGTAAGGAATGTGGGAAAGGATTTTTAAAATCCAGGTACCTCTTTAGGCATAGAAGAATTCAGGGAGGACAGAGGCCTTATAAATGCAAGGAATGTTTGAAGACCTTTTTTCACTTGTCTCATCTTAGAAGACATACAAGAACACACACAAGAGAAAAGCCTCATGAATGTAAACAATGTCGGAAACCATTCCCACGTGTTCCTGATCTCAAGGAACACAGAAAAATTCACACAGGAGAGAGACCTTACAAATGCACACAATGTGAGAGAACATTTTCTGAATCAGGTCGCCTCACTTCACATAGAGCAGTTCACACAGGGGAGAGACCTTATCAATGTCAGGAATGTGGGAAAACATTTAGCCAGTCAGGTCTGCTCAAGTTACAAAGAAGAATTCACTCAGGCGAGAGACCTTACGAATGTCAGGACTGTGGTAAAACATTTTCAGGATCAAGCCAGCTCACTGAACATAGAACAGTTCACAGAGGAGAGAGACCTTCTGAATGTGAGGAATGTGGGAAAACATTTACCCAGTCACATGACCTAACTGAACATACAAGAGTTCACACAGGAGAGAGACGTTACGAATGTCAGGACTGTGGGAAAACCTCTCCTCTATCACGTACACTCACTCTACATAGAAGAGTCCACACTGGAGAGAGACCTTACAAATGTCAAGAATGTGGGAAAGCTTTTTCAGATTCAAGTATCCTCACGTTACATAGAAGAGTCCACACAGGAGAGAGACCTTACGAATGTCAGGACTGTGGGAAAACATTTTCAGTGTCAAGGCACCTCAAGTTACATCGAAGAATTCACACTGGAGAGAAACCTTACGAGTGTCAGGACTGTGGGAAAACATTTTCTTGATCAGATACACTCACTCTACATAGAAGACTCCACACTGGAGAGAGACCTTACGAATGTCAGGAATGTGGGAAAGCTTTTTCAGGTTCAAGTGCCCTCACTGTACATAGAAGAGTCCACACAGGAGAGAGACCTTACAAATGTCAGGACTGTGGGAAAGCTTTTGTATGATCAGGTTCCCTCACTGAACATAGAAGAGTCCACACAGGAGAGAGACCTTACCAATGTCAGGAATGTGGGAAAATATTTTCTCGATCGGGTAATCTCACTGTACATAGAAGAAATCACTCAGGAGAGAGACCATAGGTGATGCAGGCAGAGGGTAAAGTATTTTTGTAATTATTAATAATGAGACAGCCTACCAGGAATGATAGAGAACAGAGAGTGTGAAAAACAGGGGTGCCAGGAGTTCTCCACTGAAGCCCCCAAGCCATGCTTCCTGAGTATTTACGGAGAATCATAAGGAAGGTGAACAAAGCAAAATCCTAAGGAAGTACAAAACAAACACAAGGGCTCATGGGGAAGTCTTTTGCAGACAAGGCCAGGTTCCTCTCTGTTGTTTACTTTATGCTCATCTCAGGAGGGAGGGATTCAGTAAATACAAACTAAGAACAATGGTGCCTCTTAAGGAATGCCTTAGTGCCACAGGGTGAATTCTAGCTTCTGTTAAGCCTCTGTCATCTCCTGATAGAACACTAGGTTTACTATTAATATTAAATTTGATATTCAGCTTTCCACTCTTATGAATGTCAGGAATGTGGGAAAACATTTTGACATTCAAGGCGTCTCACTGCACGTAGAAGAATTCACCCAGGAGCGAGACCTTATGAATATAAGGAGTATGTGGAAACCATTTCAGGGGCAGGGTACCTCACAAAACATTAAGATTGACAAAGGCCACAGACCTTAGGAATGTAAGGGATAGTGAAATAAGTGTGGCACCTTCAGCCTAACTGTCCTTACACAAATTCCCACAGGGGAGAGACCTTCTGAATGTGAGGAATGTGGGAAAAGGAGTTTGACAGTCAGTGCCCCTCATAGAAGAATTCACCCTGAAGAGAGATCTTAGGACTGTCACAAATGTGGGAATACCTCTTCACAGTTGAGTCACTTCAGTACATAGAAAAATTCACACAAGAGAGAGAACTTAGGAACGTACGGAATGGAGAGAATCCTTTTGTGACCCTGGTACAGAAACCATCCCTGAAAAGTTCCCTCAGATAGACCATGTGAATATAAGGACTGTGGGGCCACCTTTCCGCAATCAGATGGCATCAGGACATGCAAGCATTTACACAGCACAACACCATTATGAGAAACGTAGGACGTAGTTGATCCGTCTGTACTGCCTGGACATATTTATACTCACCCTGCAGAATCCTTCACCCTCACTGGACACCTGAGACCTTAGACTAGATAGACAGGTGAGGAAGACAATTAGGAAGGAATTAGTCTTCCTGATCATGTAGGAGAACTGTTGTTCTGTCTTGCAGAGTGAGATACTTGGACAAGTTTTAGGATGATTTTTTTTTCTTTACATGCATGTGGGAATCCTTCAGTGATGTGAAAGCTGGGTCTGTTTTTGCACCATTGTTTTGTTTTTGGTTTGTTTTTTTTTGTTGTGTTTTTTTTTTAATTTTTTGTGCATGTACTGTCAAATCAGATCTGACTGGTACAGGAGGAGATTGTCCCTCCTTCTTCAGCAGAGCATCTGGTGGATTTGAACCATGCACCTCTGGGACTGCAGTGTAGCTTCTTGCCACTAGGCCACCAGAGCTCCCTTATTTTTGCACCATTGTAACAAATTGATCCTTGTATTTGCCAATGTGGGCTTTTGCAGTCAATTTTTATTGTTTTCTTTTTTGCAAGGTAAATTTTACTTTGTTAAAGGAATAATGTCTTTGACTCTTACCCAAAACGTTGCAGAAAATAGAAGTGGGAAAATACCATTTATAAATTTTCGGTTAGTGATTGATATTGTCCATGCACTTAATAAAGATCTTACTTGTACAAGAGGTTTTGTTTCATGAATGGCTTTTCTTTTACTACCTCCCATGGCATAGTGAACTATTTTACTCTTCCATACAGGGTGGGTGTGCTAGTGTTCTGCTTGGCATTATGTATTTACAGTTTCACAGCAGACCCAGTGTGGGCAGTGTGTTCAGCATCCGTCAGTGACCTAGCCATACTCCAAGACCACACTCTTCACAAAATCATCTGTTTAGGAGATGGACAAGAAGATGTCTTTGTTCACTGCTGATTAAGAGGGTAGCCTGTGCTGTGGCTAGCCCATCACTAGCAGTGCTCCCTCCTAGAATATCACTAATTAACTTAGAAAAGTATTTAACTTGTCAGAGAACCAAGAAGAAAGTTTCAGGGGCTGTCAGAAGATGAGGAATTCAATCCAACACCAGCCCTAACCCTCCACGAATGCCATGGGGCTCGTGACCTCACTCCTGTGTCCTCAACTCCTGGCTCTGGCAGCAAATCCCATCCACATGGATTTGATGAATTTCTGCTTCTTCATTTGAGTGGAGCAACTAGGAGGTCACACGCAGTCTCTTATCCTGAGTGCAGGTGTGCTGCTTACAAGATCTTGCCTTGAACCTGTGACTTCTAACCTGCCTCCTGGGCTTCCCTGGAGACTCCTGGGCATAGATGCAATCACCTCAGGACACTGAGTACCTGAGTTGGGCGTGTGTCCCTCAATGTGCACAGGTGAGTGCATTGTGTACATAAGTGTGCTTTCCTTATTTCCTTGCTATGCATCTGAGAGTTGGACACTGACCAATGATGGCAAAGAAGTCATGCAAGTTTTTGAGTTGTGGTGCTTTAGAAGACTAGTGAACATACTGTGGACCTGCAAGACTCTAACAGGTCTGTCCAGCAGTTTCTCAAAGCTGGTCCTTTGAGGCAAGGATTTTGAGGCTCTTCTCACATCCTTTGTGCATGCAGCCATGAAGGACCAGTTTTTCAAGAACGATATTATGCTTGGAAGTGTGGAGGGACAGCGCTGGAGAGAAGACCCCGGATGAGATGGATTAACTCAGAGTCCGGGATGATGGAGGCAGGTGTGTCAAGAGAGAATGATATTGGCTCAGGATAGAGGAGGGCTCACAGCTGTCACTTATAGGGTCCTTATGAACCTGCTTGACTTGAGGACAGGAAGGAATGTAGGTTCTTGAAATCTGTAGTTCTGTCTGCACCTCTAGCCAAAAAGGTTACCCACTGGAAGGTCACTTATATTTTTTTTTTACTAGATGACAAAAGCTTGTATTTTTCGTGTACCTTAGAGTCATAACTGACTGACGACTGACACTGTGGAAGATTTTTAGAGGCAGTTATTCGCATGGGAGGAGACTGTCCCTCCTTCTCCCCTGGAACACCTGAATTATGACTCATCTTTCTTGAATCAGTACATTCAAAATGTCATTGTGTTGGCAACATAACTCCTTACTAACTAGACCACTCGTTTTCTAGAAACTTGGTTACCTATGTTTTATAGTAAGACTGTATTATGATTGCAATATCATGAAATTGTTGTTGTGCTTCCTTATATTTAGAGAACGGCATTCTGTGAACCCAGTGATAAAGTCTCTTTTCACGTGATGGTATCAGTTAAGCGATCACTGTACATTTGTCTCTGGATCAATTCTCTGTCCTCAGCATTTTAGAATTCTACTGAGGACCAGTGGAGTGTTGGAAGATGTGGGTATGTTCTGTCAAGTGGCTTACATCTCATAGTGACCCAGTGTACAACAGCTCTGAACCCTGCTCTCTACTGAGCCAACTTCACTGTCTCTGACACACCTGCCCTCATTCCCCCAGTCACGGAGTTAGTCCTTCTCACAGAGCGTCTTCCTCTCTTGCACTGTCCCTTCACCCTTCCATGCATAATATCCCTCTCCACGGACTGCAACATGCCCACAGTAGGTCAGCCAGAGCTTCAGAATCCTTGTCTCCAGGGAGCAGTCTGGATTCACCCTATGGTGAACTAAACTCTTTATTCTCCTAACAGTCCATGGAATATTCAATACTCTTCTCCATCACCACAATTCTAAGGTATCAGTTCTCTTTCTATAAACCCTCACCACTGTTCAGCTTTCTGATGTATAGCAAGAAATTCCAAAGACCTTGGCCTGGGTCAGGTGCACCTTAGTGTCCAGAGCGACACTGTTACTCTTCAGTACTCTGGAGAGGTCCCTGACAACAGACTTTCCCAATGCAATTCCCCTTCTAAATTCCTGGCTGCTGGTACCAAGAATGTTGGGTGTGCAGCCAAACAAACTGAAGCTGTCAGCAAACCCAAACTCTTATGTTTATCTTGATGCTGCCAATTGACCCAGTGGTGAGAATCTTGGTTTTCTTGTTGTTGAGCTTCAATCCATGTTAAAGGCTGCCTTCCTTGACCATCTGCAGCAAGGGTGTTATGTCCTTCTCACTTTCAGCAAGCCAGTTTGTGTCATCTGCATAACACAGGCTGTTGGTGAGTCTTCCTGCAATCCTGATGCCACATTCCTGCTTACAGAGCCCAGCCTCCTGCATGATCTGTTCTATATATGGATTAAGAAAGCTTTGAAATACACTTGATTTTCAGTGAGGGATTCTGTTATTGTGTATTGTGTTTTGAGTCCCAAA